GCGGGTCCTGCCAGAGGGGCGGCAGATGGGGAGACTTGTTGAAGGTTCAGATGTGATTCTGTAATTCTCACACATGATTGAAAATGACTTAGACGGGGACTGAGGCCGCATCCCCGTCTGGAGTGGATGCCGAGGCCATTGGCCCGTGGTGGTGCCCCTTGCGCCGTTGTAGTCGTGGCACGAAGTGGGTGGTGACTTGGTGCTGTGCAGGGTGCCAGCTTGATGATTTTTCTTAACATGTTTACAGAAGAATCGTTGTGAGTGACTTCGCCAAAGTCTGCCTGGCCTGTCAGGGTGAGACGCACCTTCTATGAGGTGCCCCAGGCGGGAAGGCTGCTTCCACCAGCTGAGTGCCTGGAGAGGCGTCAGGCAGGACCCCATCTCTTCACTTCATGCAAACAGCATTTCTAGTGTAGTCCAAGAACTAGGGTGCACGTGGAGAAGCATTTCTTGAAACAGGCCCTGTGCTCCAGCAGGCTGGCCCGTGGTGGGCCGGGACTGGGCCGCCTGGGCCTGCGCGCTGGGGCCGGGCGCCTCGTGAAAGGGCGGCACTCGCACCCTCCCCAGCCTTTCTGTCACACGAGGGTTGGCAGAACTTTTTCTTTGAGGGGCCGGCATACACGTTTTGCCCTTCGTGGACCATATGGGCTCCGTCGCAGTTGCTCGGTGCCGTCTTAGTGTGAAAGCAGCCTAGACTCTGGACCCACGGGCACGGCCGCGTGCCAGTCAGGCTAGCGCGACTGCCGTTAGCAACACCGGCAGCCGGGACCTGGCCCTCTTATCGCAGCGTGGGACCCTGGCGTTGGGTGGGACCGACTGCTGTGGCTGCCCCAGGCTGGGTGTCTCTGGAGAAGGGCAGTAGAAGAGCAGCAGCCCAAGTTTCCTGGGCACCTACTGCGCGCTGCTCTGGCCGCTGACCCTGAAGTTGAAGTGGGAGCAGGGTGCTGAGCCCCAGGGTCCAGTGAGTGCAAGGCCAGCCAGGCAGTCTGGGAGCTCCCCGCTCCCAGACCCTTTTACATCCTTCTTCACTTCAAATCAGGTAAACTGGAAAAAACAGTTAATGAAGTGACTGCTCATTTGCTCATCTTTTGCCTTTGGCTTAGTTGATCCCAGTGGCCCTCGGCACGTGCCCTTAGCCCCAGAACATGAAAGCGAGCAGCTTTGTGAGCGCGCGCGCTGCTGTCAGTATTACCCCTCCAGCGTCCCTAGCTTGTCTCACTAGGTTGTGCTTTTACACAACCCACGTGCACCCCTGCCCCTCAGATGTAGGCACAACCTAGGTTGTGCTTTTCAGCTAATTGCCGCAGACTTTGGGGTCTAGTCTTCACTTCAACTTGCATTGAGATTTGGAGCAATGCACCGTGCGCGCTCATCTGAGACCAGCCTGGCGGGTCTCAGGCCACAGAGCATTTGGGACCCCCAAAGCCTCCTGGGTCCCGGATGGGGCAGTGCGGGAGCCAGATGCTGGCCTGCAGCCAACCAGGCGGGTGCAGTTTCCCTCCGCCCCACTCGCGTTGCCACCCTCGCCCAGTCACATCAGCTCTCTGCGTGCGTTTCCTCTTCGGCAGAGACAGTGACAACTGCCCTCTCGGACCTCGAGCGTGGGGGAGCGCCTGGTCTGGAGCAAGTGCCCATGCGCGGCCCCTGCAGGGACGCGGTGTGCCCCAGCCCACACTCCCCGGGCGTGCTGGTCTTTTTGGACCGGAGACCGCCAGCCGACGGTTCTAGAAGTGACAGTAGCCACGTGCACCCCTGCCCCTCAGATGTAGGCTGATCTGAGGAGGTGCGGCCTACCCAGCCGAGAATCCCGTACGTAGTCAGTGCTGTTGGTTTTTGCCTCTATTGTCAATTGTGTTTTTTTTAAACAGGAACGTGATGGCTTGAAATACTTAAATTACAAATATTTAAATGGCATTACGTGCCTGTCAAGTCTTAGTAATTTTGAAGCATATTTCATGGACCGTCCAGGCAGTAAAGGTGTGCTCCTGTTTCCCTGTGGGTGCTGCAGGTCAGCGTCAGCCACGCACTCGGCACGGGTAGTGAGCAAGGGCCCGTGATCGGTACTTGAGAGTGGCTTCGGACTGTGTGGATGAGACTAGGGGCAACTTGAGAAAAGATAGAAACGCGATCAAGGGCCAGAGCACCTGCATCGGAGCCGACAGTCTGAAGGGCTTGGGCCACCCCCTGCTGGCTAATGCCCTGTGTCCGTCCGGGGGAGAGCAGGCCTTGGGACAGGCGAGGGTCTGGCTAGCC